AGTATTAGTCTTACTATTACTAGTATTATAATAGTATGTGTATTCTTATTCCTCGTACTACAAGTCGTAGTATTAGTAGCATTAATATTATTATTACTACTATTAGTATTGTTATTATTATTACTATTAGTAATAGCATTATTATTAATAGTACTACTATTGTTAGTATACGTATTATTCTTATTATGGTAGTATTATTATTCGTATTATTATTATGACCAGTATTGTTCTTCAGAGAATTATTATTATTATTAGTATTACTATTAGTAGTAGTAGTAGTAGCAGTAGTAGTAGTAGTCGTAGTAGTAGTAGTAGTAATAGTAGTAGTAGTAGTATTAAAAAAGTGTTGGTAGTATTATTAATACTCGTATTAGTATTATTATTCGTCGTCGGACTATTCTTATTAGTACTCTTCTTGACCTTCTTCTTATTAGCATTATTATTCTTATTATTATTCGTAAAAGCATTACTATTATGATTCTTAGTGTTAGCAGTATCATTTTCAGTATTCTTATTATTACTATTATTCGTATTAGCATTCATCAAATTATTCTTCTTATTACTATTATTCGTTTTCCTTCTCCTCCTCTTCCTCCTCCTCCTCCTCTTCCTCCTCCTCCTCCTCCTCCTCCTCCTCGTCCTCCTTCTCCTCCTCATCCTCCTCCCCCCCTCCTCCCTCCTCCTCCTCCTCCTCCTCCTCCTCCTCCTCCCCCCCCTCCTCTCCTCCTCCTCCTCCTCTCCTCCTCCTCCCTCCTCCTCCCCTCCTCCTCCTCCTCCTCCTGTTTCCTCCTCTGTCTCCTCCTCTGTCTCCTCCTGTATCCCCTCCTCATCCTCCTCCTCCTCCTCCTCCTCCTCCTCCTCCTCCTCATCCTCATCCTCCTCCTCCTCCGCCTGCTTCCCCTCCCTGAGGTCTCCGGAAGTCTCCGCAGGCTCATATACGAGGGTTTGCGGGGACCTCCTGGGGGAGCCTCGGGAGGGCTAAAGACGCCCGAAAACGCCCGCCTATATCACGCCGATGGAGGGCCTAAACACTACATGCACATAACCGCTTGGATCGGCGGAACCACCAGCGTTAGAGACAGAAAGAGAACGGTATTCAAAGAACGTTCGAATATCCGCGCTGATTCCTGGGTCGGCTGAAGAGCGTTTTTTCCCTACCGAAGTTTTGCCTAAAAGGGTTCTTGCTCGCTTGGCTTGAATGGGCCGGGCAGTGCAAACCGCTCCGGGCGGTTCCCCCAGTCCCCTGGGAGCCAAGCAGAAGCAACAGCAAAGGTAAAAGCAAACGCGCGGTTCCCCCAGTTGCGCTCCCTGGGTGCCAAGCAAAAGCATAAGCATAGGCAAAAGTGAAGGCAAAAACGAAGGCAAAGCAAAAGCATGGCCTTGCATAGCATAGCACAGCGCAACATAGCATAGCGCAGATAGCATAGCATAGCATAGCATAGCATAGCATGGCATAGCCTAGCCCAGCATAGCATAGCGCAGCATAGCATAGCATTGCACAGCATAGCATCGTATAGCATAGCATAGCAGAGCATAGCAGAGCATATCATAACATAGCATAGCACGAGCATGGCATAGCATAGCATAGCACAGCATAGCGCAGCACAGCATCCACGATTGCTGCTATGTATATATATATATATATGTGTGTACGTATAAGTGTGTGTGCGCACGTATGTTTCATGCATGTTGTCCGCCTGTGGGCCATCTTGAGCCCTTACTGGGGCAGCTTGAGCCCTTAGGATTCACGAAGGTTTCGCACATAGCACCGGCCGGGAGACATGAAACCCGACGTATTATCGCATGTCCTAAATGTCTTTCAATATATGCAAAATATATGTGCGTATATACATAACACCCATGTGGAATGCTGCATGTGTATGTGCGTGTGTGTGCATGTATGTGTTCAGCACCGCGTCATAATGCCTTTCATCCTCGTTGCCGTTCAGCCTCAATTCCGTGACTCGCAAAGCCACGCAAGAGCGTGCAGCAGTGTATTGCGTCATGCGGGCATTCTTACGGACCTCGAGTGGCGAGGCACGAGACCCAGCAAGCAGCGTTGATCCTCCTGCAGAGAAAAATGTTCCAGGCAGTGTTGAACAACCTGCAGAGACGTTCAGTTCCATCGCGGCCGTGAATCGATGGTTGACCGTGCAAGGTGCTGCGTGTAACACACCAGACTTTCAAAAACTGGGCGCGGCAGTTTCAGTGCTCACGAAGACGCCCAACCCTCGACAGGAAGAGATGTCCCCTCTCTACTCTTCATGGAATGTGCGACAGAAAGATCAGAGACGACGCCGACCATTAGCGACTTTGATCACAGAGTTGCAGCAGGCGGCAAAGGCAAAGCACAGCAAAGGCAAAAGCAAAGGCAAGAGCAAAAGCAAAGGCAATGCAAAGCAAAAGCAAAACCAATGCGAAAGTGTAGAGGTAGATGTAGATGTAGGTGTAGGTGTAGATGTGGATGTAGGTGTAGATGTAGATGAAGATGTTGATGTAGCTGTAGGTGTAGATGTAGGTGTAGATGTAGATGTAGATGTGAGTCTCGCTGTTGATGTAGATGTAGATGTAGATGCAGGTGTAGATGTAGATGTAGCTGTAGGTGTAGATGTAGATGTAGGTCTAGATGTAGATGTAGGTGTCGATGTAGATGTTGGTGTATGTATAGATGTAGATGTAAAGAACTCACCAATGCCCCGCCCTCATCTCCGTGCCGCCTGCTTGCTTTTGCTGCTGTCTCGGCGACTTGCTGCCTGCTTCTGCTGCTGCTTCACTTACGGCGTGGCGTCGGCGGTTCTGGCGCTACTACTACTACTACTACTACTACTACTACTACTACTACTACTACTACTACTACTACTACTACTACTACTACCGCTACTGCTACCGCTACCGCTACAACTACGACGATGAGGAGAAGGAGGAGGACGGCGTTTACCGCTCCTACTAATGTTGCTTTCCTAGAGGCTCCAACTCCTAGGTAGGGTCGCACTGGGATAATTTTAACCCAGGCGATAACTGGCGAGACCGGGGAAAGAAGGGGGGGGGGGGGGGCCGGCCACGGCGGGCCCCCGTCTGGGAAGGCTGAAGAATGGCTGCGTCCCAGACGGCGCCAGCGCGAATCAAGACGTGGCCGGGGGGGGAGGGGAGGAGGGAGGAGGAGGAGGAGGAGGAGGAGGAGGACGAGGACGAGGAGGAGGAGGAGGAGGTGGAGGAGGGAGGAGGAGGGAGGAGGAGGCGGAGGAGGAGAGGAGGAGGAGGAGGAGGAGGAGGGAGGAGGAGGGGGAGGAGGAGGAGGAGGAAGAGGAGGGGGAGGATGAGAAGGAGGAGGAGGAAGAGGAGGAGGAGGAGGAAGAGGAGGAGGAGGAGGAAGAGGAGGGTGGGGGTGGTCGGGGCTGGTCACGGCTGTCACCGCGATCCTGGCGCACTAGGCGCCCGCCAGGGGGAGTCCGGCGCCCAACCGAGAGAGATCCGCACGGAGCTCCGAAGGGTATGCTCGTGCTGTCTTTTCCTCCTCGATCCGCCTCCCTGTCCCCTCGTCCTACTCTGGGACGCAAAGAGACATACTAGTACTAAATGTCCTCCTTAAAGGCGCACGTGTCCGACCCGAACACATAGTATACCCATCTTGTATTATCTCGTTTCCCGAGCGGCGTGGCCAGAAAGCGCCCGCCACGACGCATATACTAGAAGATTTCTCGGTGCGCCCGTCGCCCCTTTGGGGGAGGGGGGGGCGACGCACATGTAGTGGAGTGACGCCGACTACTCCTCTTCTCCCGCACCGTCCACGCGGAGCAGAATCCCTTCAAGATCGGTCCCCGGACCCCTCCCGCATCCACCCTGGGCAACGTTTCGTCCGAGGTCGATCCAGGATGGTCCAGAAGCGACCTCTCGATCTTCGTCTTTCACCGCCGCCCCACGCGCACACGCCGACATGGATTGGGAGCCCATAGATCTGGCGAGAGAGCGCCAGATCCACGGACCGGGGGAAAGGCCCCCCGAAGCCTGCGCTGCTCCCATCGTGCTTAAGGACCACATCCAAGGACGAATTTCGAGCACCCAGAAAAGTATCGAAACGGTGTCGAGCGAGTATCGCCTCCCAGGACCCTGCACGTGAAAGCCCTTCAGTCTCGGTGCTCTCCTGGTGCTCGGAATTCTGTCTGGTGACACTCAAGACTGAAGCAGGCTGGAACATCACAAGCAGAAACACGGCACCAGTGCCGCCTTATCTGGCGACGGAGCTCGCCGAATCTATCTGGGGACGGGACTCGCCGCTAATCCACGCACCTGGAGCCATAGGTTGCGCGTCCACGACTACCGTACACCAACACGCGATCCACCACCGCTTCGCGCGCACCGAGCAGCTCGGAGCATCCCCTTCTGTGGCAGCTCGTGGGAGCCTCCCATGTCCTATTGCTGGCTCTTGCGAATCGACGCCAACCGACGCTAATCGGCGGTGCATCGACGCGAATCGACGGTGAATCGACACTCTCTCCTCGACCACCAGACGCTAGCGCACGCGAATGCACCCTAAAGACGGACTTCCGATGACACACGAGGCCCCCATGCCTTGCTACCGAAGTTACCCGTGCGAGGCGTGGATACATCCACATCCGCCGCCTGTGGAACCGACGTCCTGGGACCCCAGCGGCCGGTGGGTATGGATCTATTTGGGCCCCAGGGGGGCCGAATCTATCCATATCCGCCGCCTGCCGCTCCGAAAATCGATCCTCCAGGCGGTGGCTGTGTATATACTCCGGATTCCATAATAAAGTAGGGGGGGGTGCATTTGGCGGGGGGGTCTGATTTGAGCTGTCTTGAAGGGTTAGGGGGGGTCTGGGCAAAGTGCCGCCCTTTCATGGGGTCTAAAACTTGTGGTCCGGGAGGATTGTGACCCCCTCCCTTTTATTACGAAATCTGGAGTACAAATCCCCGCCTCGGAAAACCCGAGCCTCGCGCGGGAGAGGGGGGGAAGCCGCGCGAAGCGGCGCAGGCCAGGCCTGCCGCCCTCCATCAGCTCGAGCTCCTCGGCGCGCTGTGCCTCCTGACGCAGGCTCGGCAGGCCCTCCCAGCCGGGCGTGGACGGGCCTCCGGGCCGCACAGCCGCCGCCGCCGCCGCGCCTCGTGGTCCTCTTACTCCTCCTCCTCCTCCTCCTCCTCCTCCTCCTCCTCCTCCTCCTCCTCCTCCTAATCCTCCTCCTCCTTCTCCTCATCCTCATCCTCATCCTCATCCTCATCCTCATCATCATCATCATCCTCATCATCATCATCATCATCATCATCATCATCACCACCACCACCACCACCACCACCACCATGATCATCATTATCATCATCATCATCATCATCATCAGCAGCATCATCATCATCAGCAGCATCATCATCATCAGCAGCAGCATCATCATCGCCCTCCTTATCCTCCTCCTAATCCTCCTCTTTCCTCGCCTCCTCCTCCACAGCATCATTATCATCATCATCATCACCATCATCATCATCATCATCATCACCATCAGCATCATCAGCATTGTCATCATCATCATCACCATCATCATCCCATCATCATCATCATCATCATCATCATCATCATCATCATCATCATCATCATCACCAACACCACCATGATCATCATCATCATCATCATCATCATCATCATCAGCATCAGCATCATCATCATCCTCATCATCAGCATCATCAGCATCAGCGCCCTTATTAACAACAACAGCATCATCATGATCACCACCATCATCATCAGCAGCATCATAATCACCATCATCATGAGCAGCAGCATCAGCGTCATCATCAGCAGCAGCACAATCCTCCTCCTCCTCCTCGTCGCCATCGCCATCATCATCACAATCCTCATCAGCATCATATCAGCATCATCATCGCCATCATCATCAACAACAGCATCATCACCATCATCAGCATCATCATCAGCGTCATCATCGGCAGCAGCAGAATCATCAGCACCAGCATCATCATGTTCATCATCATCATCATCAGCAGCATCATCATCATCATCGTCAGCATCATCATCGTCGCCATCATAATCAACATCATCAGCATCATCATCATCGTCATCATCACCATCATAATCAGCATCATCAACAGCAGCAGGATTACTCGCATCATCGTCATCATGAACATCATCATCATCATCAGCATCATCATCAGCATCAGCATCAGCATCAGCATCAGCATCATCATCGTCAGCATCATCATCATCGTCGCCATCATCATCAACATCACCAGCATCATCATCATCATCATCATCATCATCGTCCTCATCACCATCATAATCAGCATCACCAACAGCAGCAGCATTATTCGCATCATCGTCATCATTGACATCATCATCATCATCAGCATCATCATCAGCATCATCATCAATATGCTCATCATCACCCTCAACATCATCATCTCCGAGATGATCATGATAATCAGCATCATCATCAGCATCGTCGTCAGCATCATCAGTATAATCATCAGCACCTTCATCACATCACTATATTCACCATAACAAGCATACTAACAACAAATTAAAAATGGTTCTAACAAGAACAATCATAATCATAATCATGGTAATCATCATCATCAGCAGCATCGTGATCGTCATTCTCATAAGTATGGTCAGCATCAGCATCAGCATCACCATCATCATCAGCCCATCATCAACAACAACAGCATCATCATCATCATCAGCAGCATCATCAGCATCATCACCACCATCAGCATCATCATCAGCGTCATCATCAGCAGCAGCACATTCTCCTTCCTTCTCCTCCTCCTCGTCATCGTCATCATCATCATCAGCAGCAGCATCAGCAGCATCATCATCATCATCATCAGCACGCCATCATCATCAACAACAACAGCATCATCATCATCATCAGCAGCATCATCAGCATCATCACCACCATCAGCATCATCATCAGCGTCATCATCAGCAGCAGCACATTCTCCTTCCTTCTCCTCCTCCTCCTCCTCGTCATCGTCATCATCATCAGCAGCAGCATCAGCAGCATCATCATCATCATCAGCATCATCATCATCGTCATCAGCAGCATCAGCGTCATCAGCATCCTCAGCATCACTATCATAATGATCCTCATCATCAGCATTACTCGCATCATCGTCCTCAGCATCATCATCACCACCATCATCATAATCACTATCATCATCATCGTCAGCATCATCATCATCATCATCATCAGCATCATGATCATCATCATCAGCAGCATCATCTCCATCGTCATCATCATCAGCATCGTCGTCAGCATCATCAGTATCACCATCACCCTCATCACATTACCATCTTCATCATCACGATCATAATAACAAGCATCATCATGATCCTCATCATCAGCATCATCATCGTCGCCATCGTTATCATCAGCAGCAGCATTATCATCAGCATCAGAATAATCAGCAGCATCATCAGAAGCATCAACAACATCGACATCACCATCAGCATCATCATCCTCATCATCGTCATGGTCA